GTGGTTGTTCTTGTTATTGTGGCTGTCATTCTGTTTTTTGTACTGCGTCAGCGACCACAACAAGAACAACCACAACCGCGAAAAAAGGTGCCGATGGATACTGTGGAGTCTCAATCCACAAGTAATACAACCACAGTGGAGACTACTTCGAACCCTCTGACAACAACTACTACGACTGAAGTTACAACAAATTCTGCTGTATCTAGAAATACAGCTAGATCTGTACAAAGTGGTGATAACGCCTGGAACAGTGATGATATTCATTATGGCCACTCTCAAACACGTCTTGCAATGCAGTCCCTTGAGAGAATGACACCCACCACTGTTACCGCCGCAGTTGAAGTGAAAGAGCACCGTAACGTACTCCCTCGTGTAACGCTGGATGAGGCTCCTTCCAGACGTGTTGCCGCTCCTCCAGCTAAGGATGTATTGCGACAAAAACACTTTTTGAGACGCCCACTTCCCGATGCCAATCAATCTTTGGGTAAAACGCCTATCACATCTTATGTGCTGGGAACTCCAAACTGCACACCACATCAGGTATCAAGTGAAACTCTGTTGACGACTCCCGTTGAAACTGAAGTTGTGCGTAAGACTGGGGAAGAGCAAATGACCTCTACAACAATGAAACGTCAGTCTGACAATGCAATGATGACGCTTCGCAATGCGGTTGGTTCTCACCCTGATCCTGGCGCAGAGAAGAATGCTGAAGAGAGTCACTCAGCAACGCCCCCTGTCCCTCTCTACTCTGAAGGAGCGGATAGATTTTCAACTCTCATTGATGAGAATTTTTTTTGGTATGATAGTGAGGATGATATGGCCCTTGAACGGAAATTTAGTTTTTCTATTGATTCCAGCCATCGGGATCAGCTTCGCAGATGCCGGGGGAAGAATGCCATTACGGTACCTTTCTTTAGTGGTACTCACAATGAGGAGTATACTGAAGGGTGCCACTCAGCAACTCTCCCTGTCCCTCTCTACTCTGCGAGAGCAGACACATTCCCAGTTCGCAGTGAAACTAATGTTGTCCATTATGATAAGGGTGATGGTGATAAAACTCCTGATGGTACAGATGAGTCTCCTGATGTTTGTATCGATCAGCAGCAGTCTGTCAGGTTGTCGTCATTACCTTTAGACAATTACCCTTTACCTTCTAATGCTGTGGCATGTGAAAATACAGTTGCTTCTGTACAAAATAATGTTAGCAACAACAGTGTTTTTAATCTCAGTTTTCTTAACAACCATCAGTCTTCGGGTGACGCTTTGTTAAGCGAACAAAATTTGAGGGAGACACCTGCACTTCTTCGCAACACAAGTGAACCGTATTTATATACCGCTCCTGCAGAAGGTGATAGTGATTATGATAATTATAATAATAATAATAATAATGACAGTGATGAAAACCATCGCGACAATGAAAATTACGATGATGATGACAGTGATGAAAGCCATCGCGATAATGAAAATTACGATGATGATGATTAAATTGAGGATAATCATTCTTGTGATAATAACGGACCTCAGGGGGGAAATTCCAAGGAGCTCCCAAAGAAAAATAATCACAACATGAAAAAAACGGGCAGAAGAAAAGGAGTATAGATCAATTAAACACTTACTTGCATCATGTGGCTTTCCCCACTGCCTCTGTCGAGCGGGAATCACCTTGAGAATGAAAACACTGCTGTTCGTCGCTCCAAAGAAGGGAAGTGATGAATGTATTGACAAGAAAGGTGTTGCGAAGAATCATTCACCATTGTGTTTTGTATATGAGTGGTCTGATGGATATGGAGTGGGTTTCTTTGCAAAAATAGAAAAAAAAATTATTCATCAATGAGAGAATTTGGTTCTCCATTCCTTTGGGTTGCTATTACTGCTTATGATGGCATGTGGGAATCAGGGAGCTGTGTACGGTATTTTTTTTTTTTTTTTTTT